GAGGGAGTGCTGTGGCAACCTCAGCCCAGGCTTTTCTAGAAGCACTTCAGACTGTCCTAGAAAGCTCTTACACACTCTCGCCCATCGACTCTTCCGCCCAAGTGCCAACCGTCTGAGGGATGGTACACATGCGCTGCAGGCAGTAGCACTACTCCTGCTAATTCAGTAGGCGGTTTTGGTGGGCTGTTAAACGAGGGGATTCTCTACGCATGCCAAAAGTCCGAGACACTCAACGGGTCATTTCCGTGAAGCCCGACTTGGCATGTGCATGTGCTAGCCTTAGACGACAAACATCAGTGAGCGTTACGTGTAACACGACAAATAACTTCAAATACAACCGCTCCCAGAGTGAATAAATTCACATTGCCAATCAAAAAAGTAACCAAACCAGTGAGACAACAACGATGACCAACGAGATTAAAATAGTGAATTCCGCAATTCGTAGTGCTAGTGTAGTGCATTACTTGGAGTATGCGCTAAATAGCGTTCGGATCTCGCACCCGAATACGTCCTCATGTTCATGCCACTTCGGAAGACTTATAATTCAGTGGTGGTGAATTCCTATTGATTTGGTTGTAGAAACTGTTGTTTTTGCAGAATCACTCGAGCATCTGTCATCTACCCGTCTTTGCATTCCTAACCGACAAAATCTTGATAATTTTGAGTATACGCCCAACTGTTTACTTCAAGAAAACTCAGCATAATTACAGTTGATATCTGCATTACTCGCGTCCTTGATTGTCCTTTGTTCTTTACGTTCTCATAAATTGTCTTTACTTCCTGTTAGCTTGCTTTTTTCCTTGAAATCGAGAACTTATACTTACTTCCTTCTTAACGTGATTTTCAATCCCCAGCCGTTTCGTCCCATTTTAATTCAAACCCACACACTGTAAAAAGCTAGATTTGCACATTTCTGCAGTGTGTCCTATGATTGCGAAACAACACCACATACACAAGTATAAACTTCGTCCCCATTCCTGCTCCTTGTGGCGTTTTTTCAGTCGAGGTTGTGAAACGTCTTGTTGTTCGAGGTTGTTGGTCGTGGAAGTTCATAACTTGCGTGCGCGTGTGTGTGTGTGCGTGTCCGGACGTTGTTTTTCAATAGGATGTTGCATGTTTCCCGAGCAGACGATCGCATTTAAGCCTGCTTGTAGTGCCTAGAGCACCAGAGGTCATTTTCGACTTTCTGTCTAAGACTTGGAGCGTCGCTTTTCAGGCCCATCACATTGCCAGGGTGCTTTCTGGGAACCCCTCCTAGTTATGCATTGCATGTTTATTTGTGTACGGGCTCTGCAAAGCAATGTTGTCGAACTTCGCGTTCCCCTATAGAGGCTCCCTGACACCTCAGTCAATGTTTACCCTTCTTATTACTTAAATTCTTCAGCCTTACTGTTAGTCCTCCCAAGTTTTTAATTAATTTACATAGTAGAGATGTGATTATGCACTTTCCCTACAATTAGATGCGCGACTTATATTCACTTTATACTTGTTGACATTATTCCGATTCTGGCTTAAAGGCTACGCAAATGTCAATCTAACTGCCATTGGCGTGAATCTCTTGAGCCCACACTATTTAATGCCCACTGCACAGATTCTCTCTTATTGTTTCGTCATTTCATTTTCGTGGCTTCGGTGATTCACACTCATAACTTCGCAGGTCAAAATGATTTGTGAAGCTTGTTGCCGTACATCCATTAGCCATTCGTCTTGTGTGACTTCATTTCCAGCAATGTCGAATCCTCTTTATTTTAGATTGGCGAGCAAATAACTGCAATGCAACTGGCCTTGGACGAGGCAAATTATCGGTATGTTACCTATTTACGTCTATTTCTATCGTTGAAACGTTTTTGGAGGTTGCTTGAAAGTTTTTATTGCGTTATATCCGATTATTTTTGCTCCGGGTACTTGGTCTAACGGTGATTGAGCATGTTACGTTTTTGCATGTTTCTGTCGAAGCAGTTTTCGAACTAGGACCTTCTACTTTGGGGTTCTAGTTTTATTCCCCAAATAATGCGACAACATTTCTTTTAATAATGACTATGCATGCGCTTAAATGAAACTTGATGCGTCCTTTTAAACACCGTAAAATTTTCCGTATACGCTCTACCCTTGTTTATCTTTGTAAGGGATAAACGCATACCGTTGCTTTAGCTAGTGGCTATGCTTTCGATGAAAACAAATTTCATGTAGGGTTTAGCTATTCTTCCTAATTGTTATTGCCCAGTGTTGAGCCTCGTTCGCGCTTCGCCCTTTTTTCTTGTGACGGGTGTAACCCAAGGTGGAGCCTTTCGACGGAATTGGAGTCCCATCATAATATTTATGAAAGAGGAGCGTAATTTCAACCCTCACGTGACTCGCAATCTGTTTTGTCGCCTGTGCCGTTTCTCCGTGATCGTTGGTTTTGTTTGACATCCGCCAAGTTGACATGTCACAACGAACCTACATCCTCACCATCGCAACACTGATTGTCTGATCAGACAACCAGCAAAGTTGTGGGTTGCGCAATTCCACGCCTTCGGTCAGCGTATTGCTTTCTCCTCGCCCATATTATGAAGATGAGTTCGCCCACTTCTGCAACCGCGTCTAATCCTCTTTTTGCGCTGTGTTGAATCAGTGTGTGTAGCTTTCAGCTGACTTCGTATTCACAGTTAATGTGACTGATGACTTGCCAGTTGTAGAAGTACAAAATTGCGTCCCTGTGTTTTCGTCTCTACCCAAATTCTGTCTCTGCTCTGGGTGTACGTCGGGGGAAAAGAATTCCTTTGTTGAACTTCCTTTACTGAAACAATTTCCATCGTTCGCGCATTGAAGTTGCGTTCTCTTGCTAAAATCGGTCCTGATTCGCTTTTCCGCGGTTCGCCTATCGTTGTCAACTTGTCGCAGCTTGATATCATGAACATGCATTGCTGGGTAACAGGCTAGCGTTCAGGTAAATGATCCTTGTCTGAAACCTAATGACTTAGCACCGTTCGGAACCTAATAGATCCTCGGCAGGCTGCCATTTCACACTGTTCACATTTGATCCGTAATAGCGTTTCTAGTGTGGTTGCTGACAAGTAACTCGGTCCCACCTCCATATAGCCCTTTACCGTGGTAGCTGAATGTCAGGTTATCGCATTTTTGCATGAAACCACTGGTAATGTTTTCTCTCTGCGGCCGTGTCCGTGTGTGAGTGGGTCGATGGCACACGCACACGCACGCGTTTGTGTGCAGACGCCGGCTGACTCAACGTCCGTAGCCTGCCGACATAGTGTATTGCTGTCTCCCTTGCCACATCTCCACAGTTCATAAATCAAAGGCGAGCAGCATCGGTCTGTGTGCGTGCGGGTATGATTGGCGACGGCCAGCAATTTCACTGCGTTACACATGAAAGGTGGTGGTGTTGTCGACTGTTCCGCTATTTTATGTGTCAGAGCGAGAGAGATATTATCACTGCGGTAGTAATTGACGGGGTCGATACTGCGCGATGTCTGCTGTGTGGGCAGTGGCCATGTAACGACACTTGTCGTGAACACAATTCCCACTGGATATTGTAGCTCCTATTTATTAATCAAATGTCGTCTTTATCAGCGTCACACACCCAGGCAAGCATTGACGAACCCGTTTTTTGGGTTGCTTGACCACAACCTAATGCTGTTATTACAGGAAAGCCTAGTCTCTAACAATGAAAATCGTCACATCCTGGTTATGTCAGTCGAAATGGGTGGTGGGGTAAACCAACAAAGTTTTACGCTAACGTCTAGTCAACTACTGGGGTTGAGTTCCATTCCCATTTCTACCGATACTACTCTTCTCTACGTACTGGTTGTAAGCTGAGTTCCTAGTCATCCCTCAGCAGCCATTTAGGTTATTTAAGTGCTTGTTGTTAAACATTTCCGGCATCGTTAATCTTCAATCTATGACATATATTTCAAAGAACAAAAAGGTAATTCATAGACTCTTGACGAAGGCAGCTAAGTTAACTATTCACCATAGATTGGGGGAGGGGGTAGGGGGATTCCAAAACTCCATGCGTGTCGATGTTGGCCTCAGCAGCAACTGGGCGAAAGTGTTTAAATACACGCTCAAAGTTATTACTCAAGATGCTGACTGATTTTCGACTTGGCTGGCGTGCGACTTTTTAATACCTCATTTGCCCTTCTCATTTTCGCGCAATCAAAAGCTCAGTCTCTTATTTTAAGAGTCGAAATGGCTGAGCGGTCTTCAGCAGCGGCCCTTCAACAACTAGAATCCAAGAATTTGGAACTTCAATCTCTTCAGGAGCGACTTCTAAAAGTGGCCAACGAGGTTAGTCGCTTGCTGAGTTTTCGCGTTTAATCAATGCCTTTTTTGTTCTTGTAAAGGGAAGCCGCTGATACAGTGAAGGGGAACTTGTCCTTGTCACAACACCCTGCGCATCCCTGTACTATAACGGTGTTTTTTTTATCGAGTCAGATGTTGGTCGATGGTCTTTGTTTGGTCGAGAAACGATTTTGTCGAACCTAAGGCCACATGTTTGCAAACTAAGTTAATAGTCCTCATCATTATGATAATCATGTTGTTGTTATCACGATTTGTATTATTTTCACCCGTCAAGGTCCTGTACTGATTTGAACCCAACTTCCAAGAGTTCGTGCACAGTTTTGTCTCATTACTCCCCGCATTCCTTATGGGCTTAATGAACGAAGGTCAGTTGGACGGTAATGGTAATTGCATCTGAAGTGGCTGTGCGAGTGTGTATGCAGGAATGGACTTGCCCACAAACATGAAAGGTCCCTTCATAAGGGATTGCTTCGAGGCGTGTGATTTGGCTGGCTGTGCCAACACCTGTGCGTGTGTGGGGAGGTCACCTGGGTGCGCGACTTCGTGTTTGCGTTCGCCGAAGGCGACGAAAAGCCGTGTATGCGATCCCTATACATGCGCCTTGGCTCGTTTTTTCCAGTGTGCATCCTCCGACCAATTAGACCGCTGCTGTTGGATCGTGCCCTGGCCCCCACCCTAGCCTCGACCACAAGTCTTTTTTTCTGCGCGCCTTTAGTTGTGTGTGTGTGCGTGTGTCAGGTCCCCTCCGCCCGCCGCATCCTCCTCCTCTCACCTCTGAAAACGCCGTCGGCGTTGCAATAGCTTGGGCGTTTTTAGCCACGCGCTCTCGGGGTGGTTGCAGCCGCGGCTAAAATCCCGTGCTAAGAGATTTTGCACCACTTCAAGCCGCCATTGCTTCAGTTCGCTTGTACTGATCCTAATGAAATAACTGTTGCGGTATTTTGGACCAGCTGATTCGCCGCATAATGTCACTTCGTGCAACACCTTCTGGTGGACCGGTCAGACATCCCAGTAAAATAACCGAAAAAATTGTGTGTGTGTGTGTGTGTGTGTGTTGTCTTCAGGAGTTAGTAGAATGGCAGCTCTAGTGGAACAAAGACGGGTCGCTCGAAGTATCTATGCATTTGTCGCGGGTTAGTGCAATTGTCAAAGGTAAGCTGTGTGGTGTATTTCCTTGAAAATAAAGAATCGGGCTGCGTTTACGGATAGCGATTGCGGATAGTCCTCTGGGACTCCGAAATATTGCTCACTTTTGCACCTGCACTCCTTTAACGTGAACAAACTCCGAAGGGCAGTTTTGAGGGAGTCGTCCAGCTCTCCCCAAAAATTGTCTCGTGTTAAAGTGTCACCTGGTTCGCAAACTTCTGCCATTGAATCTGGCTTACGAAAATTAGGTGTTCCATGTGTGTACAAGTAGGATACAATTCACAGTGAGGATTAATTTCTCCAGTTTTGTGTTGGTTACGCTTTAAGTTAAATCTTTTTTTAAATATTGTTCGTTTCATCAGCCTTATTGCAATCTGTCACTGTTCAACACATCTACTTGTTTAAGTTCATCGAATACTACGTCATTTTAACCCTAATTTACCTCAGTAAAGTCTGAAGATTTCGTTGGACAACTCGTTTGGTCAAAATTACATACAAATTCTACCAGCGTTTTGCCAAATCTAAATATTTTTGTACGAGGTTTTTGCTCTTGGTACTGTTAACGGTCTTTCCTATCTGTGTCTGTTGGATGATCGGAGGCGTGATGCAGCTTTCACATTGCGCCGTAGAGTTAAGTCGAACTGTCCGAAACCACAGGATCAGTCAGCAGCGTTGCCGGGCCAAAGGAGCCTTTCACTTCTTCCTGGGTTCAAAATCAGCCTTCTCCACAAATATCTCCTTTTTTGTTGGTCTTTTCTGTGCGCAGTATGGTTTTCTTGCGTCAACACACAGCAATTAGGGGTGTTTTTCGGTCGTCAACCGAAGTTTCATTGGTGGCGCACTGTGTCTGCAGAGAGGCGCGCCACTTCACACTTGGATTTTTCCGTGTGCGATGTTTACGCATTTGCAATGGACCCGTGCTCACGCGCTAATCCCACTTTGCCTCTTTCAGCACGAAGAGTTTCAGGATAAACAACTGCAACTCGTCACCAGTCTGGAAACTGAGAAGCGGATTTTCATGGAGCGCGTCCGAAGGGCCGAGAAAAAAGTGGAGCGCTTTGAAAAGGAAACACAGGCGAAGTCACCAAGTAAGACCTGCGCTTCTGCTGTTGTGGGGTCTTTTGGCTCGCTTAACTAACTTGCGGCTGACTCGTTCCAAGTTATGTTATCTTTGGCCTCACCTCTTGCCTGTGGAGTCGATTCAAGGGCACACAACGAGCCCAATTCGTAATGACTAGGCGTTTTCAATTCTGCCAAAATCTCGTCTCCTAACTCCGATTGTGATGTTTTACATGTGGTTTGAGACTCATTTTAATTCATTTCGCACGTGGTCATCGAGGCTAATTACTTAGTCCCTGTAACCGCCGTCTTGAGGTTCTTTTTCGTGGAGGAAAAGCGATGCTGCTTGCTCGAGTGTTACCGTGGTGTGCGATTTGTAGACGATGCATGCAAGTATTGGTCCTTCAACAGACGCCTTAGTTTCCATAGCCAATATAGCCAAATGGGGTTGTCACTCGTCGTTCACCTGCCCGCTTTAATTGGAAAACTTGCGCAAGTCTCTTCCAAGTCTGATGTGTCCAAATTCAAACCGTTGCCACGTCGTAAATGCCGCTTAGGAAGAGACTCATTTCTGTGCCCAAACCGGTTTGACCGAGTTGTCAGGAGCTCGTGTTGCCTCTGGAACGCTTAATAATAAGCCACGTGCTAATCCTGAACCTAATTCCGCAGCTTTTAATCGTCCAGAAACAGTTCTTGTATTCTCAATTTCACTAGGCTTTTCTCCAGAGCTGCCAATTTCACACCTCAGCCACCATGAGCCAATCTTAGATGTGGGTAACACATTCGGTATTACGTCACGTGATGTAATCTGTCCCTTGGCTTTGCACACGCAGGTATTTGGGTCGAATTGCACCCTTAGTTCTTTTACGCCACCTTATTTGACTTAACTATTTCTGCCACGTACAATTTCACAAAATTTCCTGACCACGAGATAAATTGCTAATGTTTCTAAATGGTTTGCCTTTGTTAAATGTTTTGCGTTATTAACCAGCGATTAATCTCAAATCCGTTATTTTGTTTTCCGGCTGCTCGCATCTTTAGCTGCTGATTAACTGCTTAAAATTACTGGAAGTGTCCATATATGCTATGGAATAATACCTTACATTTTAATCTTTGAATACAGCATTGCATTTTATTTGTGGCTTTATGTCCCTTCAGTCCAGTATCCAGGAGTTTTCCTAGTCCTCTTTGAAATCCTCGCAGTAAAACGATGATCCACAATCCGAGCTAGACAATTGATAAGCCAGAACACTCGAATGGATCTCTTTCACGCTATCGAGATATTGTTGTGGGGTGTTAGTCTGTGGTGAATAAAACGCAGTTCTTTGTGTTTCCTCTGCCTCATAATATTCACTTTTAAGTTCTCATCATAAATCCCTACATTTTTTTTCATAACAATATTATCCCAGATTAATCGATACGAAAAAAAACTATGAGCGAGGGAAGTCCAACTAGTGAGGTTTAGAATTTGTGCCGAAAGACGTCTGCTCTTCCGGAATCTCAAATCTTCCTCAGAACTTGATCAAGTTTACTGTCGTGACACATGACTGCACAGAAATGCATCTGAATAAGTACCATGTAAAATGAAACCTGAATGCTGTCATTTCTGAACGCACTTAAGTAACTGCGACAATCGCTTAACCACATGTTGAACATTTTGGCATTGGTGCCATAATCGTTTTATCAGACTACTTCATTATCTTCCCCGGTGTTCCCCACATCTCGCTTGCAATTTTATGGGATCTCATGCAAATTAATACGGTTTTCTGGGACTAATGATGCATTAATCTCGGCTTCTTTGCGCATATTTCGGTTCCCCATTTTCGGTTCCTCTGCCTTTTGCCCTCTATATCGACGAGCTGGTCTAATGCATAATATTTAATAAAGCGCCTTGAATGCGCACTTAGAATTTTTCGTGACAGCCAGTTCTCTCGATGTGTTTTCTAGCAACCTCATTCTCTAGTGTCCATGGGCTATTTGCAGTTCCGTGACATCTCTCAGGCAGTGTCTGGGAACTCAGGACTCGTTAAAAAATTACTTAGCTCAAGTTGCAAACATCCAACGAATTGATTTTTCGCCGATTAGGTCAGTATTGTTAAACAAATTAAATTTATACATTCCCTGTATTGTGCTGCAGGTTCGCACTTGAGTCAAAGGGTATACTTCATTTATGAATAGGCCACTTTTTCAAAACGTGCTTTTAATTGCTATTTCGGAGATCAACCTGATCGTATAAACGCTGCTTCCTTGTTGGAACGAAGATCTGGCTCAAGCGAAATCCTTTGTGCGTGTTCTAACGTCGGTAATTTTTCTTTATTCTTACCCACAGTTTCCATTGAGAGGGGAAAGTTTCAAACAATTCAATCAAAGGTGCCGTTAGTGCTTGAGCGGATAACATTTGATCGATAGAGTTTGCTGTTAAGGGAGCTTCCATTTGCTGCCCACAATGTCTGATGTTGGCAAGTAACTGAAAAACAGTTGTTTGATGTTTCTTCCTTGTCACCCTCTGTTATGTCATCCTCTTCCTTATTATGGAATTAGCCCAAGTTGTGCATGCGTCTACTTGAGAGCATTACCAAAGCAACAAACACCCGGGTAGTTGCCCTCCGTTTTGCTCAAAAAAAGTCGGCCTGACTGTAGTAGTTTATCGTGCCACTTAACAAAACCTATTGAACTCGAGTTTCAGTCTAGCACTGTTTTTTTTGACCTGTCGGTTGCATTTGTAGTTATGTGATCCTCGAAGTGGCATTCAGTTCCTGGTCTGTTGGTCACCTCTTTTCTTGATTTAGTGACGTGACTTCCGCCTGCTACGGCGGCTATCCACTTGTACTCAGACCTTTTACCGTGGCTAACAGAAGTGTTCGGGGTGTGTTCTTTTGTTTCAGATGGCCTTTTCTTGGAACAGTACTCTCTTTGTATAAAGTGGTCCACGGTCTTTTCACACAGCACCAATTAAACTGTATGTTGTAGTGTTAGAGGCCAAGGCAAATGTAGATGCATGCTTGCATTCGAGACTTTATCAATTTAGTAATTCGTGTTTTTGGATGACTAAGTGTTAGGGTTTAATCCTATGAGTTGAACCAAGCAGCTTTCTTAAACACTTGACTCACTCCTTCCAGTTAACCCAAGGTCGCCATCTCCCGTATCCAATGGCCGTGGCACTTCACGCACCTCTGCCAGTGGGGGCGCCAATCGCAGCAGCCACGATAGTCAGTTGAACTTCCTCAACTCAATTATCGTTGACCTTCATGCTAAAAACGCCGAGCTCGAGCAACAACTCCGCAGTGCCCTCGAAAATCACAGCAGAGGAGATGCCAATGAAAAAACGAAGCCTCTTCAAAAGTATGTAGATTGCGTGTACTTCAATTTTTTTTAAAATCTTTTGCATTCTTGTATTTCGTTTTAAACTATTTGGACTGACCCTGTTTTCAACAAACCGTTTACTGCTTAGACACTCGAATTCATTTTGTATGCCTCGAGGCATTATCTTTATGAGACGTTTTTGAAAAACCACCAACTGAATGTCATCGCCTTTGTGCCGGCACCTTACTATCCTCCTAAAATGTCCCTTATTAGAGCGAGGACTGTGTATTGAATCGTGTTGATTCACGTTAAACACCCAGTCGTCGCAGCCTCACACATGTCCCCTCTGTTCACAACCTGCCCGTCTGTCACGTGAGACCGCTGGTTCATCACCCCGCTGAATGTACCATCACCACCACCACTTCCCGCATTGGTCATGTGACCTCACAAGCGCCGGTGCTCATATTTACATGTCACTCAATTGTACACAACAAAACTTGGTTGAGCGGTCTAGTAAACGGTTGTCTTCCCCACTCCGGTCTTCTATATTTTCGCGGGAACGCAGGGTAACGTATTCGGCCTAGATAATCGCATTGGCCCCGGCATGGTTCAAGACAACATGCCGGGGCCCTCAACAACTGTGTATACGAGAGGCATATAAAGCGACCTATTAGGAGTGGATCTCACTCAGGCAAATGTTTGGCTGCTTTGCTGTGGTTTCTTTCAGACGACTTTGGCCTTGTCATTTGTATGTCTGCCCTGTCCCCAAATAGAGTCTGTTGTTGCGGGCCCCGGCATACCGTCTTGAACCACGCCGGGGCCACCGCGACAATCTACGCCGAATACGCTACCCTGTGTTCCTGCGAAAATAAAGAAGGCCGGAGTGGAGAGGGCACAACCGTCTAATAGACCGCTCAACCAAGTTGTGTCGTGTACAATTACGGTTCAGTGGGCATGTACAAAAGTAAACACAGGTGTCTGTGGTGGTGGGACACGCACAGTGGTTAATGAACCAATGGCCGCACGTGACTGACGGGCAGGTCGTGAACAGAGGGGGCATTTGTGTGTGAGGTTGCGACGATCGGGGTGTTTAACGTGAATCAACACCCTTCACTATGCTGTTTTCATCCAACACTCCACAAATATCAAGCAAATGCGCGTGCAGACACTCTTCCATTACTTTTTGTTATCATCACATCTGTCATGCTCTCAATCGGCAAAACACATGCATTTTGGCTCAAGTGGATTTTGTTTGCAGCATTAACTTGGGAATTTACCGCTGTGTATCAAGGAAGGATGATCTGTGATTTATCCCTGGAAGCCTTATCATCAGGACGTTTTAGCAATTCCCAAAAAAGGAAATATTTGAATTTAGAGGTGGTTCTGGAGGGTATGGGTGTGGTTTTTACGTGAACTAATTTGGCAGTGTCTGAGAATACACAAAAAGTGATCTTACCTACTTTCACAAATCAGCAATGACTCTATTCAAAAGTCCTGCTCTCTTAAAATATCTGCTTGTTCTAAGGTTGCCATTGGCCTTCTTAATTTGCATTTAGGCCTCTCGAAAACCATCTTGTTCGCGACAGAGCATATTATTCCATTGCGTTTTTTTCTGCTTAGGGCAAAGGAAAAGCATACGTCAAGCTCGAAGCTACGATTCTGGTGTGACAATTGTGAAGTCTTTGACCTCCACGATACCGAACAATGCCCGAATGAGCCACAATTTTCCCGTTCCAACGTCGTTCACAGATTGGCCAGAAATGTTGTTCCTTCAACAGACAGAAAGTACTGTGACAACTGCGGCATCTTCGACCTACACAACACTGAAGAATGTACAGAGGACCCCCAGGAGACATTTTGATCTGTGTGTTTTGAAAACCACGAGAATATGGCATTCTTTTACTATTTTTTGTATCTTTCCTCCTTACTTGTGTCATATTCCGACTTTCTCCTTCTGTGTTTTTGAGTTTTCTACTAGATTTGGAGAGCTCATGAATAAATATTTGCCCTGTTTTATCTTTTTGCACACTTCGTGATTAAGTGATAATATGGCGAAACTTCTAACTCTCCTTTCAACTTCACTCGTGCGTTGAATTGAGGTGCGCCAGGTCATGTGAAGCATTGGTGGAATAATTTAAAACATTGACATTTACGATGACGATTTCATACTCAAATCCAAACTACTTGTAATGTATGGATCAGCCCTTGTTTGATTAACCTAGGAAGTGTCGTGATGCCACCCCACAGTGAAATCTTTACTTTACACAGCGGTTTCACCTACTTTCAACATCGCCGTAAGCTCGGTTCGGTACCACCAATCTTGGTGCAATGAAAAGCGTTGCTAACGCGATAAGTCGCTCCATCGTGCAGGCACCAGAATTTGTAGGTGGCTTCGCTAGTTAAAAAAAGACTTGGTGGGTTGGTTTCGAGAGGACCCGTTTTTATTTTGTGATAGTGTTTCGAAAGTGCGAACCACGCCCTCAAGTGAGCATAAGTGAATGGAGATCAGTGATGGCGGCACTTCATTAACAAAGCCACCGAAATCTAGGAGTGACACCGTTCATGGCCTTCTAAAAATCAATTTTAATCAAGAGGCTCGGTGTGCACGTCCTCTATGGATAAATTTTTGATTGATTCTGTATTATTGGTCTTGTGGAGGCCATTGTAAATGAAGTACATAAACGGTAGAAACAAGAAAAACGACAAAGGCCAGGTTGAGAGCCATGCAGAAGCTGATGAGCTTTGGCTTTCATTTGCTACAGCAGCAGACGGTTCTGGTACCATCAAATTGGCCGATTGTGAGTTCAACACCTGGCCAAATATCAATCGCTTCCACTTATCATAGGTTCTCATTTTCTGTGCATTTCCATTTTCGTCGGTTCCAGCTCAGAACACCGTGAATGTCGCCTGCGCGTTCCCATGCCCCTCTCGACGATTGCATTAACTTCACAGATATTTAACTGGGTTGCATTTTAGATCTGTGCGTCGTCAATGCCATCAGGCTTCTTAATATGCCGTATCACTCAAGAATAGTGTTGTTACTTAAAAACTCACGCAACATTTAAGAGGTTTGCCCTATTATATGACTAAAGTGTGTAACGCTAGTATTCCTCTCTGCCGGAATGGATATTCGTGGGATTGATTCAATGCGACCGATTCCACCTTTGGCAGTTTGCGATTATAAATAAATTTTCTTGTTCTTTATCATCTTCAGCAGGAAGCGCACGTTCAAGTATACATTTAAGCAAATTTTTTTGAAAATTTTGTATGGTGTTCAAGTCATAATGGCTACTGTTTTCCGTTTTTACCGTGTGCATATTCGGACTATTTTGGGGATAATCAAGTGAGCAAAAACTGAGCGCTAGGTGTCTCTCGGGATCCCTCCATGTGTCTGCTGCAAATCAGTGGAGGGGAGACTGTCTGACGACTCAATCATCGTTTTGTGGTATTAAAGAGGTGATCAGTTTCCTCATCGGTTTTAAATGTCTGCAGAGAGACAGCAGCCACTTAAATCGATCCCTGAGAATTTTCCCAGTGTATCGGTTAAACAATTGTGCTAGGTTTTTAATTTTAATATTAAATTGGTGAAAGAAACCTTTGGCTGTCAATTCTTGGTGTTCTATTGAGTTTAGTCCCGTAAGATGATCACATAACGCCCGACATTCTCCAGTGTGCTAACCCAAGTTTCTAATGGAAATCAAACTTGTCCGTTCCACTATACAATTGTCCACCCTCTTGTCAGAAATTTGATGATCCCCATCCCCTCCGCAGTGATCAGGTTAGTGGTTGCGTGCTCATCGTCACGGAAAGAGGTATGTTTTCATTAAACTGTATAACAATGTTTTGGTATTCAGATTTTTCTGCAAAAATCCTCTTTGCAAAGTCATGACTATCAAAGGAGGAATATCTGTGCGCCTACTTATGACTGATGTATCAAACAGCACGAGCCAAGATTCATGCATGGTAAAACGGAGAGATTAAAAGCTCATGTTACAGGATTTCGATGCGTCGTAGAGTTAGTAACCTGAAAACGGCACGAATTCAACTGCAACGTCTTAATGTTTCTGCTAATGTCCACCTAGTCATGCATTTTCTGCCTCATTCAAACGTACCACGCTGCGGACTCAGCAAAAGAATGAAGTACCCACCATTGCAGTTGGTCCATTCAAGGTCCAACGGTCTTGGGCTCAGTGACTGGTTTTAATTGACGCCCTAGTAAGCAAGTCCTAGGTGTCCTCATCACCACCACCCTACTTTTACCCTTAAAGTACAACGACTTTACAATCCGAATCTTATTTCTGCGCCAAATTAGATTAGTTTCTGATTACGAAACACCATTGCAGGATGCCCAGAAAACCTCTCTCCACAATTTTGCTTGTCACAATTCCTGCTTTCCTTCCGCTTTTTTTCAACACCGCTTATTAACACCTTTTGGTCGTAAACTAATAAATTACCTCAACCGACACTCAGCGCGGTTAATTTCAGACTTCCCTATTAAGCATAAGATCTTGAGTTTAACAACGAATTTTAATATAACTGTCTAAACCTGTACCTTCCAAATAAGGAAAATCAATAAGACAATATTTCAACAAATTTAAATCATTTTGTACTAAAAAATCGCGGTTTGCTACAAACAGATAAAATATGTGACGCCAGAGTACCGGAATTCCCATAAGGTTCAATGTCATAACAGGGCACAGCGGTGTTTGGAGAAAATGGCGTCAATGAGGTGATTCGGGCTTGCACAGACGAAGACAAACTCACATTCTAATTAGCTAGTGGTTTTTATAATTGGGTTTCTAATGCATCCGTTTATTCACATTTTGCCACTTTCTGTTCAATGTTTTCAGCACAGGGAGCTACATTTCATGTTATTACTGTAAAGAACTATAATGCTGTAGAAGTTAAAATGAATGTAAGAAGTCTCAGAGGTTGTGTTTGGTTCACTACGGACGTTTCGCTCATTAAAAGGACTTATCTTAAATTGAAATAATATCTGCTTAGGATAAATTAAGGTACGAAAATAAGAAATGAAAATTTGTCATTTGTCATGATATGTTTACTTGAAGAACTGGTCGCTCGGAGAGACTTGCTACTTAATTAGACGCAAATCAACTTTTCAAAGGCCCGAAAATAGATACTTTTCGGATTAAAGGAAAATCAAATTCTTATTTCCAAGATTTCCTATAGGTTTTCTTTGCACAGCAAAAACAGTCTATTTCACGACGGAATTACCGTTTTAGAAATTTTTTTATTTTTTAATAAAGGTAGTGTACACTTAGTATCTTGGATCAAATTTTATGACTAAACATCAATTTATCTTCTCTGATTTTAAATATCGTGCATTTTCTTGACACCAAGAAAAGAATTCCCAACTTTAAAATCTCATTTTTATCTTAACTGATCGACCTATTACTATTATTTTGACTTCAAGCTAATTTAAATTTTTACATAAATTCTAATTTTATTATGCGATGCATTAGTTTTTAGGACATATAAGTATTAAAATGCACCTAAAATTTATAATCTCGACCGAACCTCAGTCACTAGAGTGTCACTTCCTCATCCCGGGCCTTTATACAAGTAAGTTGTAATTAAGTTGGAATTTAAGTCATCAAGTTTATTAAGTCAGGGATGTGAGCCTCTTAAAGTAGCCTTCTGCAGGCTCTGATGTACGTGATTGTACTAAAATCTACGCTCCAACAACAAAATTCCATTAAACGCAAGAGAATTTAGAGAATAACTTTCCGATTGCCAACGGCTAAAGCAGCAGCGGTGGCGACCAATCAAACGGACAAATTTCTGGCAAGGAGCCAAACCGTTGGTATCACTAATACAGGGGGTGAATAAAAAAATCCATCACTTCCCACTGATCACATTTACCTTGGTAAGGAACCACTAAAATTTTCACTTTTAGGTTCCATGTCTCTGGAAAATCCATGGCTTTTACAACGCCAGTTTTTTTCAAATATTGGGATCAAGATATGTCGTGAATGTATTTATAAGCTCTTGCAATCTCAAGTAAACTCAAAATAAATTTTCTGCTGTGAATTTAAATGCTAACCCATTCCATCACGCGATTTCTCCCTAAAAATCCCAACACCGACAGGTGCATCCGTCCTGGCTTCCAATCGCTGAAAGTGCCCTCTGAGCTGCATCAAGGCATCTGCGTGCTCAGTACACAAAACTATCAACTGCCTTTCGTTAAAACAAAATCATAATTCTGATGTCATGTTTCTACTTTCCGCTATTAATTAATCATTTTTATTTGAATAGTGACATCTAAGTGGGTCTACTTTGTATGAGTCGGATTATAATCGCCATAGCTTGTGTGTTTTGTGTCAACTGTCGTTGCTGACCATAAAATTGACAATGACTGGGACTTCTACAAGTCAAAAGTTTAGCAACCAAAACTAGTGAAATCGGTAGATAAATAAATCCGAATGTTAAGGAAAAGAGGTGACGTTGAAGCTATTCTTATTAATTTATGAAGATGTCTTACCAATACTTAAAAGAGTTGAACTCAAATTCTTGCCTTAATTTTGACGAAATTTTTCGAAATCGCTTATTTGTTTTTTTTTGAAATAAACCAGTCATTCGCGCGTTGTATGCTAGTCCAATCGCCAAAATGTCTACCAATAAGTTAGTGACATAAGAGATCTGGAGTAATGTGTAAAATAAATAAATTCACTGTGATATTTACAAATGTCGCCTTAATGTATGTTGATTTGCCTCACCCTTATATTGCGACAAGAGGAAGCCGATTGTACACGGGAGAGATCACATTCAGTTAAACTATAGGTGCATACTTTTTCTATGCTGTCTGCACCACGTGAGCGGGAGTTAATTCATGAGAACGAAAGTTGTTTTCTGGCAAATTTTTATTGTGCAAGTAACTTTGAATAGCTTTAAGACTTCAGCAGCAATTGCTGCCGAAGGAATAATAGGGTAATTATTCAACACTGGACGGCAAGGTACCGGTCCTAAATATTATTTTGCACTGACTTCCATGTTACGTTAAAGAGTGTTGGCACTAATGTACTCGTAAAAATGAACACATCCGCAAGGTGGAATTTTGGTAATCAAGCGTAATCTCCTACTGACGTGGTTGTGGAAACCAAGTAAACATTACAGTGACGTCATCTGTCACTAATGTGGACAACTCTTATATTTCGAAATCATATTACCTTCTCTAGATGCCATGGCTTGCTTTATCGAATATAAGTAGGACTGGTGTGATGTGCACGATTAATACTCCTCAACCGCCTTGAGATAAAAAAAAACTTTTTTTTTCAAAATGCCAATTAAGGCTTGACACGCTCGAGCTGGAGCAGTCGTTTCCCCTTCAACTAAAATTACTTTCCTTTCTTTCATTAGCAGTGTCAACTCAAGTTGTGCCTCTGCGCAGTATATCCGTGTGATATGCATAACACATCAAAGCAGATTCGAAAGTTGTATACTTCGATCACAGGCAGCAGTTGCTTGTAATGAAACGAATCCTACACCCTAATCTATTGAGGATTTTATAGAATGTTCACCAAATGCTTAAAGAATTGGCTTCTCTCACCCTAACTTTTTCTGATGATTAGCTATTATAAGTGTAGCGAGCTAAACAATTCTTCAATAAGGCATTAAGCTGTGATAGTGCAGAATTTTTGGGGAAAATAAATCGCAATTAATTAGTTTATGGAGTCGAGACAAATGAATGAAGCGAATGTCAAAATCTCGGCTTTCTACGTCTTATAAATTTTATCTTTTCTAAAACAGAATGGCCTGCTCGAATTCGTAAGTCCGTAACCCAGACACTCTTTAGCTTATGCAAAGACGGGTGTCAGAATGATTGAAAATTCAGCGTCTTTGCTTTGGCCTGTTAGTAACAAAACAAGTAATTCAGGCGTTCCCAATTTCGACGCGAGAGGTGTCCACGTGGTTCCTTCCTTTGCTACTTGCCAATAAATGCATTATGTACGGAATTTAACAAATGAGAAATTAAAAAATGGTACACACATGTGGGACATTTCTTCTCTCAAAATCTGTGGTGCTTAACCAAAAGAGTTTTAGATTAGCCATTTCATAAGAGAAGTAGAAACTTATCCCAACTAAGCGAAGAGAGTCACCTGCTTTTGAACCTCACAAATACTTGACAAGAACACTAAAGTGGGCGTTGAACTTTGCATGATTTTTTAAGCTCATGTCAGATTAATGTGCACATCCTCCGTGTGCAAATGCTGTGGTGTTGAGCTGTTGAGCCAGCTCATAGTGGGAATGTATTTATTAATCACATCTTACATGTCCGCTGAACACGACGATCTAAAATTCTCCAATTAGAGACTTCGATAAAGCCTGTTTCATGAACCAGTTAGACGAATTAGTGCCCACTTCCTACTTTTCTTGTGACGTGGTTCAACGGTCGTGATTGAACTGTGACGTAAACTTGTTTAGTCATATTACACGGTCAGTTCATATCATGTCATTTCAGAGGCAAGCAGAACTACAGCAGTAGAGACACTTGCTTAATTAAGATGGGACTATTCATGGTGAAACCGGAAGTCATAATAATCATGTTAAAAGATTAAAATGCCAATGAATTGTCCACGAAATCCACTATTTCGTTCAGGCAGCTTTTGGCTGTAGAGAAAAAGGTATGTGTTTATTCACACATTTAAATTTGCCAGATTGTTCCCCTCTTAGTGTTAGACCTTGGTTCCTCCGTACCTCACTACACCTAAGTCCGACGTTCTAGAGCTTATAAAGCCCCCCCAAGGTATGCCACTGTGTGGACGGATGTACGTGCGCACCCAGCGCTTTTCCTCTGCACTACAAAAAATCCGGCCTGCGAGTGTGGTAACTGTTTGGCTGGTCGCCAATGCTAGCGCATGGCGCATCTCCAGTGTCTGGTGCTCGCCTTTTCTCTACGTGCAAGCAGTCCGATTGTGCGCTTGCTTATGTGCATGCACATGCGTGCGCTTTCCGCCGACTTGTAGAAAGTGCAGTACTGGTCCGCGAACGCACAGCGATACGGACGCACGTAGCAGGGTGGCACATCCGCACGCGATCGTGTCTGCACGACGTGGTAGCACAGCCAAAACACGCCCTCCATGTGGCCTCGTTAACGCTCTCTGGCTCTAGCCCTGATTGTTTGTGTTCCATCCTCGGCACGCATGCACGCCGTGCGGAGTTGGCAGCCTGCCAGCCCTGCCTCTTGCCAAATAGACAGTAAGCGCGCGTGAACCACGCACGCACGCACGCCCGTGCCAAGGTGGTTATTGCACGTGTGTAAGCAGACATCTGTTGTAGACGCGTAGCTGCTGCCCTCCAAGACGGGGCGCACGGTCAGGATGGCTTGTGGGTTAGACTCCGTACAATTTGCGACCTGCTTCTATGTCGGTGGATTCAACAAATAAGCAACTTAACCAAAACTTCAGGCCCAACACATCGTGCGAAAGTCCTTAGGTCTGCCTTCAACTAGAAAATTTGTTCAGCGTGATACTAGGCCCATCTCTGCTAAGGCTTTGCATTGCCTAGTTACAATTTAATGGAGCAGAGGCAGAAATAATACACTGCAATGCAAGACAAAGCTACCTTTGCTAAATGCTGCTCACATTTGCAGATGAGTGTTCAAGTGTGTAGGAAATACGAGGTCCACTGTATTGCCCATAAAATTGCAACGCAGGTTTTCGCCAAAATCGCATTTCGACAAATGAGAACTCTTGCCGAGTAAACCAAGTTCTATATGGAAGTGAATAGCATATTTCAGCCCATGGTTTCATTGGTAATCATTAAATGTAAATGAGATTTTGTGTAATCTCCATCGTCGAGGAATAATTTAAAGATGGCTGTTGGATGACCTAAATCGGTGGGGCAGAGTTGGGGTCCACGCGAAAGCTTTATTCATATTTCCTAGTTTCCGTGGACTGTTCAGTCATTTTGTTTAATTATTTTACATTTAGAATGACTTGTTTTATGTTGTTGTAGGATTAAAGGAATATTTGTGGTAGCGAACCCACGCATTGGCAGTGAATGAAGGCATATCACAGCTGCTACCAACACGGTTTCACTGGTAATCTGATCCCTATAAACTACTGTTTGACACGGGCATTTGTTCTTTGGATCCGAACACACGTTTTCTTTAACTACTGAAACCATGTCTCACGGCACCAATTTGGCAGCTAACGTTCAAGGTGTCAGCAAAAAATAAGTGATATTTCGATGCATTTAAACTGTCGAATTTAGACGTTCACAAATACCGTAATTTACTAACAGAGTTCAAACTTGAAAATAATTCAGTATATAGATAGTAATGATTGAGTTGCGCATGCGAAGATATGGTGATTTCTGGTAGAACAGTTTAGAAGCTGTTTTCACATCTGAATTATAAAGGTCTTATTTTCGTAACTGTTTTGGCGTCAAGCAACTCCTCAGGTCTTAACGTCGACGTCTTGAGGGTCAAAATTGGGCATAACTCACAACAAAGTGTTCAACACACCCTCCTCCAATCGAAATCTGGAGAACGGAACGGGTCTGTGAGTTTCGATTCCGCATTATTCCAGCTCATAAATTGAAGCAAGCGAAATATCGATGACAAATAGGGTTACTTTTGGACTTAAAAAGGCGTTCACTAGGACAAATGTAGTGCGTAATTACAAATATGGTCACATAAAAGGATGGTATTTAGGATGGCTGTTGGGTTGGTAAAAATCAAAAGGGAGGAACGAGCACAAGTACATGTGGCGGAAGAATTGTGCTGTGTTGCTGGCTGGGTGGTTAGGGAACCAAATAAGTGAAGTTGATTTTATTCAACAAAAGTTTCTGTAAGCATCTACACACAATACTTGTAAATAAAACGAACCCCACATGGAAGGAGATCTGTAGCGATCATGAGCACTAAAACAATTTGCGCCATGAAAATACGATCACACATGTAGAGCCAGAAAAAAGGGACATTATATAGTGCGACGGGTTAGTTTGAGTTCATCTACCATTTTCTGACTAATGTGCACTGCTCAAAACGGGCAATTCGCTGAATGTGAATTTCAATTCAGTTAATTTGTCTTTGAAATTCTGAGTTCAAAACCATATGATTTATACTTACATGAATCAAAAGGTAGGTTGGAAAATTCAGCAACATCAGCGTTGCTGGTAACTAACAAATTTGGCAAAATTCATTGCGCGTTCTTTCTAATAACAAAATAGAATATTTGGAATGTGCGGGACTTTACAAGCACATAATAAATCATATTTTCAAGTGCAATGCAAATTGTTAACTCAAAGGTTGGCATGAAACATTCCTCATCCCGCCACCCCGAACTTTGACCACACGAAGTAGGTGCCTGGTTTTGATAACAGCATGGAACAATTCGGCACAACCACCAGTCCACCCTATTTCTGGACGCAGTCGTTTCAGCTGACACAGTCCGCAAGCAACACTGCAGGGCCACATTTAGGTTACAAAAGGACTTAGTAAGGTGCAGAGTAAAAGACTGCGTTAAGAGTCACCTGACTCCTTTTTTTAGGTGTAACTCTCCTTAAAGGAAACATACTGAAATGACAATTATACGCTCGTGAAGTACGGGCGTGAAGCTTACTTCCTGCAAGAAAAGATATTGATACCCTTGGTTGTCCCAAGTACTCGAGGCTCTGTTGTCAAGTTCCACCTGCAAGTCACACAAAAAGACGATCATGGCTTATAATTACAGGTATGGATCATATCGGAGGAAAGACAGGGGGTCATTACATTGCATATAATTGGTCTGACCTATAAAATATGCTTGGTTTCTAAAAATGCACAGCCACCACCACCACAGTCACCAACATCTCAAGTTAGAAGCTCATGAAAGTTGAGAAATCATGTAGAGGACCAGAGATGGCTTTTCGTAAAGTGGCTCCGAACAATAACGATTTTTTGTCGCTAGATGATTTCGAGGGTCAAACTGAGGATGAAGTTAGTTCTTTACGTAATCAACAAACGCGTCATCAGAGAATTCCACGTAATTTTTGCCAATTTTAATTTAAATTCTGAATTTGAACGGTCGCCGATTGTCCATTTGAGTTAAAATTGAAATACACTTGTGTGCAGGAATTATAATTTTTTATTGATGAGAGATAAGTATTCACTGTAGGAAAGACACGGATTACAAGCAGTAGAATAACTGCGTTGTATTGTGTAGTATACGCGATGTGAATTTTTCGTGTTAGTTTTAGATCTTGCCTGCACCTACATATGAAAGTGTAATCACCAGCCGCGGTAAGGATGAGCAATTACTCCAAAAATAGAGGGTTCTGAGTTGCTTTAGAAACCAAAGACCGTCAGTTAACAATGCATATTACCTTTTGTAATAATGAATAATTACTCTTCATTGGCCTGCTTAATAACATCCCTTAAACTAAAATCGAAATTTTACCAGACAGTGGGAGCATTATTATCATTTTTAATGTCTACATTGGGAGGAAACACGAAAACCTTAGCTGACGGACACACATCTTTCAAATTGCAGCACTTTGAGCCTAAAGTCCGAATTTAACCGCTTTAATCATTCTTTGTAAAACTTAAACCTTTCCTAGTCCCCATTACTTTGACAACCCTTGAAAATAATTTCTCGTTAAGCCTTTCGGCCATTATTGATCAAGCATTACAGACGACATGTATGAACTAACACATTTTGGTTATTATATGACTTGTACGCACCTCGTAAATGATACCATAGCATCCTCACGGACTTCGAAGATTCTTGCTTTTGGTCATTACTGAAGTAATACTTCTCACGGAGCTGCAGCACAAATAGACTTATACATGAGCCTAAAGATAAAACCAATCCTCAAACACAGTCATCCATGTTTAAACTCATTCCTTCCACAGACCAACCTCCTATATCTTACCTTCTCATTTTATTGTAGTGAAATATATAATCCGTAGAACCCTTTGATAAATTGTTACTAAAGTAAATTTGAGATCATCAAGTGAGACTAACAGAATAAATCCCTCAACTTATGCCTTTTAGCCCAAGGCATCACAATGAAGTTTAGGTAACATTCAACCTAATTAAAATCTCTTAAATCCTGTTTTCTCTTTTATATACACGCATGTGCATACTTATTTATTCATATCTGCGCCTAAGGTCCCCACGACCACCGCCAAAAAGCACTCTTGTGCCTAGGGGCCTTTCACAATAAGACGGTTTTAGCGTGGAAAAAACCACGCGGTTGTAATTTTCAGGGCACTATTATGGATTCCCACTCCGCAGACAAAAGTGCTAGCATCCTGTCGACATTATTTGAATCCCATCAACCTGGAAATGCCCCGCTTCCCAGTTGGCACATAATGACTCACCAGCCATGCTACCTTATCCTATCACACTTTTCGGACATGCTTCAAAAATTAAGGTTCGTCTTGTATGCTGGCCACGTTTATGTAGGGCTCTGCTATTTCGTTCAAACCACCAGCAACTCGCGCTTATTTGATTACATCTCTGTTAGCCAGTAGGAAAGGACCATTGATTAGGAAGAGGCTATAGGAGCTAGAATTCTGGGGTTTGCTGAGTCACTTTCCCCCACAATGGTGACTCTTCGATCTCCGAGTGTTTCCACTTCACGTTAAACTGATTTTCACTCGAATAAATCCTTTGTTTTTCACTTGCTTATTACTTCAAGTAAAACGAAGCTTTGAGATAAATGGCAAATCAGCATTGCATACATAGGAGTTGATTGTACATCAATAATTATTTGGACGACTCAAATCGAGATACGAAAGTACATCAGAGTAAATGTTTCAGTAAATTTGGACTTTCTTGAACATTTCCATGGCGAAGAGACAACGAAGAAAACACTACGTGGTCATCTGGGATAATTTTTTCGATGCAAAGGAGTTTAGAAGTGGAAGAGCACCATTTGCATTGCAGTTCAGTTGATGATAAATTTAAAGTGGCATTAAACATATGACACCTAAAATTTTGTAACTGAGCTTTATTAAATGCAGTGTGTTCCTTAACCCATTTCGGCTGTTGTTAGAAAGTGAATTAGTTTTGCGGTACGAAACTAAATGCAAGTGCACACCAAAGGACTACCTGCACCAATCATGCCGCGGCTTCAGCCACATTACTTGTT